CATGGATTTACATGCATTCCCCATCCCGATCCCCCCTCCCACCTCCCTCTCCACCCGATCCCTCTGGGTCTTCCCAGTGCACCAGGCCCAAGCACTTGTCTCATGCATCCAGCCTGGGCTGGTGATCTGTTTCACCCTAGATAATATACATGTTTCGATGCTGTTCTCTAGAAACATCCCACCCTCGCCTTCTCCCACAGTCCAAAAGTCTGTTCTGTACATCTGAGTCTCTTTTTCTGTTTTGCATATAGGGTTATCGTTACCATCTTTCTAAATTCCATATATATGTGTTTGTATGCTGTAATGTTCTTTATCTTTCTGGCTTACTTCACTCTGTATAACGGGCTCCAGTTTCATCCATCTCATTAGAACTGATTCAAATGAATTCTTTTTAATGGCTGAGTAATATTCCATGGTGTATATGTACCACAGCTTCCTTATCCATTCGTCTGCTGATGGGCATCTAGGTTGCTTCCATGTCCTGGCTATTATAAACAGTGCTGCGATGAACATTGGGGTGCACGTGTCTCTTTCAGATCTGGTTTCCTCGGTGTGTATGCCCAGAAGTGGGATTGCTGGGTCATATGGCAGTTCTATTTCCAGTTTTTTAAGAAATCTCCACACTGTTCTCCGTAGTGGCTATACTAGTTTGCATTCCCACCAACAATGTAAGAGGGTTCCCTTTCAGTATTTTCTAAATTAAAAAATTCAAGACCAAAAACAACCCGAAGACCCTAAAGAATCAACTAAAAACTCGAGGACTAACAAAGCAACAACTAAAAATTGTAGGGGGAGTGGGGCAAAGAGGATGGTAAGACTTAACAATAACCCAAAAAAACACATTATTACTCCCAGTTACTAAAACAGTGTGCACTGACTGGTACTGAATAAAAGCTAAAAAGAACCAAACATAAATGTATTTAGTATTATGACAATGGCAGCTTTATTTGAAGGCAAAAGAAAGTTTTCTTTTATGGGGCTAAAATAACTGATTTACCACTAAGGAAAACTAAGGACAATTCCTTCACTTCACATATTAAGTCAAAATAAATTCTGAATGAACAGAAGAGAGAGATGTGAAAAATGAAACCACAAAGAACTAGAAGAAAACAGTTATCTGGGTAGAAGAGTTCATTAAATATGAAAGTAGAAGCTGTAAAAACAATGTTATTAACCTAAACTTCTTAAAAGACAAAACTTTCAATTATTAAAAAAGTAAATAAATAGATAAACAAAAGGCTAATGAAGAGCAAGGGAAAATGTTGTTAGGATGAGTCAAAGGGTGGCTATCCTAAATATAAACACCACTCCGAAGAGCCAAAGACAAACCAGAAGATGTCCAGAACCTATACTTCTATTCATTATCATAACTCATTAATCTAAGAAATAAATTAAAAATCTTACAAAAAGAAAAAGAAGGGAAAAAATATTACTTCTGGAAAGATATGGAGGAAAGGTGTACTCTCTCGTATTTTTCATCGAACTTCATACAGGTTTGGTCAACTTATACTACAATGTTAGTTGAACTTTTAAGATAAGATTTGTCAGTATTCATGAGAAAAAAAAATGTTCATATACTTTAAGCAATTTTAAGACAGGCTGAACCCTAAAGAAATAAGAAGTACATAGTAAGATGTAGCTCTTAAGATGTTCTTCACCACATTGTAACAGTGAAAAAAAGGATAAAGCAGCAAGTTATACACAATAAGTGACTAGTTAAATTAACAGTACTTTCATAAGACAAAATGGCATGTACCTTTTAAAAATCTTATTTTCAATATATGGGGACCTAACAGTAAAAGCTGTTTTTTTCCAGTAGTCACATGGATGTGACAGTTGGACTATAAAGAAAGCTGAGCACCGAAGAATTGATGCTGTTTAACTATGGTGCTGGAGAAGACTCTTGAGAGTCCCTTGGACTGCAAGGAGATCCAACAAGTCCATCCTAAAGGAAATCAGTCCTGAATATTCATTGGAAGGACGGATGTTGAAGATGAAACTCCAATACTTTGGCCACCTCATGTGAAGAACTGACTCACTGGAAAAGAGCCTGATGCTGGGAAAGATTGAGGGCAGGAAAAGGGGACGACAGAGAATGAGATGATTGGATGGCATCACCAACTCAATGGACATGAGTCTGAGTAAACTCTGGGAGTTGGTGATGGACAGCGAGGCCTGGCATGCTGCAGTCCATGGGGTCGCAAAGGGTCAGACAAGACTGAGCGACTGAACAGTAAAGCTGAGGAAATCCTTGCCCACAAGCAGTTTACTTCAAGCAGGGGATACAGACAATAACCAGATAAATCACTTCAGATGTTAGGTTCTCAAAGGACACAAAGAAGGTAACAGCCAACTGACAGGGAAAGTGGTCTGGGATGGCGTCTCACAAGGAGTGACATTTGAGCAAAATACAGCTGGGTGTTCAGGCAGAAGGAACAACAATTTCAAGAGAACTAAGCCTGGCATACAGCACTGCTGTGGGTGAGCAGCACAAGATAAGCCTGTGAGGCTGATGGGCAAGACAATCTAGATCAACCACAAACAAGGCCTGCCCAAAAGGTACCTTAAGAGGAAAACACAACCAATGGTGAAGATGGTCTGAAAAAAGATAAGTAAAATATATCCCTTTAGAAATTTCTTACACTGACTACTTGCTGAATCACAGTATTTTGGGTTAAAAAATATTTCACCTGTTTCTCTTTGTAAATGTGGCTATTAGAAAATGTTTAACTACTTATGTGGTTCCCATTTGTAGCTCCTATTATATTTTCAATGGACACTGTAGGTCGAGTATAAAAAAATCTGGATTTGTTGAGTCTGAGAATAAGAAAATCTACTTTACACATTGAAACGATTGTTCTGCACAGGAAAGGGAGAGAATCTTGAAGCAAAGATACCAGTGAGGTGACTACCACCACCATACCATGTACAACAAAGGTGTTGAGACAGATCATATTTGGTTTAAGTTTTTAACACAGAAGCAGCCTGGTACTTCTTAGAATTCAACGTTTAGTTGTTTAGGATAAGAAAAACAAAAACAGAGAGACTGGTGGGATACCTGCCAAAATATTAATAATTACTCATTCTTTGTGACTTTTCTGACAGTTTGGGGGGGGGGAGCTGCCCTCATAATCAAATATAAAACTGAGGTTTGTTTTTGTTTTTTTTGTTTTTTTTTTAAGCAAGATAAAATAGTCCTATCAAAACAAAGCACCCTGACATTTGTCTGCAGGCTGCATACACTGTTCTTTAAAAAAAAACACTTCTCATGCCTATAAATAAAGTTTATTCAAAGATATACACAAACTCATATTACTTATACACACACCATTTTCAGGAAGTTAATACTGCTCCATAATTTATCTTTGTGTTGCTGTTCACAGGATAAATTCCAAATCTGAGGCACAGGGATGGGTGGGGAGGGGAATAAAAAGTACTTAAATGTGTTGCTAACATATCCTGATTAATACTCACCGCACTCCTTTCTCAAAAGTGTTCCAAAGGACACACTCAATGAAATTCCAGAGAATAACACCTTGGCCCTTATCATTTTCCTTAAAAGCTTTGCCATTTGATAGGTGCTTCACTTAACTAAAGTCTGCATAACTGTTAGGAGAAACTCAGGACAGGTTTCTTTTACACATGTGTACTACGGCACAACAGAAGTTTTAAGAAACTCGCCAGAGATTAAAAAGTGGGAAAGAGAACCCCAGAAAAGTGATTTATTTTATACTCAATCAAGTGTTTTTTCTACCATATTTACATTTTTGCAGTGAAAAAGCTGACAGCAAATAGTGCCAGACTTCTTACCATGGAATTTCCAAGAACAAGATTCATTCAGATTGACAGGAATCCTGGTTTCTCATGCAGATGTTCAAAAACTATGAACCAATTACTATGGATATGAATTTGCCATTAAAACGTAAAAGAGAATCCTAAAGTTTTTCATTTATTTCTAGTATTTCAATCTATTTTACTCCTGAGTACCTAAAATGTCCCAATGAAATCTGCATTCACTCTAAAGCAACCCTTGCATTTGTGTACCAGGATCTAGGAAACAAGAAATGTTCATGGGACACAGCTGGTGACAGCAAAACAGAATCTAAGACATAGGCTAAAGGCCCATGAGTCGTGGAAGAGTAACACAATATTAATCTTTATATTAACAGAGCAATGAAATGAGTGAACTACAGCTACACATTCTTTTTATAAAAAAGCTCAAAAGAAAAACAAACTAAACACACATTTTGAGCACACAGACGTTGTTATGAAACTTAAAAAAAAAAAAAAACGCAAGGGAATGGTAAACAAAATACACTAGACTGAAATGATTACCTCGGTAAGGACAGGCAGAGGTATAAGACAGATAAGAAACTCATAAACATATGCAAGTTTTGGTAATATTCCAACTTTTGGTTTGGAGATGGAAAGCATGGATTTTTATTACATTTTTTATCTCTTTCTACTTTATTGTGTACAGCATACTTTAATACTGTGTTGTGTGTGTTCATACCTTTGTGGCATTAAATATACTTTGAATACTTTGCTTAAAAAGCTGTAATTAACATACAATAAACTGCATATACTTAATAAAAGTGTAAAATGCGATCTGTTTTGACAGAGGAAATTATCACAATTGAGATAATAAGCCAACAACCCCGAAATTCTCCTCCTGTACATCTTTGCAATCGCTGTTTCCCTTAAATACATTTTAAAATGCATAAGAAATAAAAGTTTAAAAGATAACCTGTTTGGGAAGTATAAATGTGTATATTCTGCAGAAAGAAAACATTTTCCCTTGAAGCCCTGGACTAAGGGTAACTCGGCAAACTGTCCTAAAATTGGTAACATAAATATTACATAACTAACCTTAAAAGTCTATGGGATTTTACATTAAAAAAACACATTTCGAATTTGATTTGATAGAGGACTTTAAACCTCTTGCTCGAAGCATTAAATCATTAATAACGAACCAATTTTTTAACCACCAAACAACTTACACATGGTCTGTGTGTAACTTCTTCACACTGCTGAACAACTAATCTGAGTGTGAAGATAAATCATCGCAGCGTCTTAATCGTGTGGTTGGTTTGGCAGAAAGTTTCGACATAAAAGTTAAAATCATTTCAAACGCATTATTCTTCTGTTGTTTACGTAGTTAGACGGCAACGTGAAAATACTACTCCAGAGGAAAACTGAGAAGTTCTGAGTACACCCAACAAACGCAGAGGAAAGAGAGACACCCCACCCCGCCCCCCCCCACCCCACACACACACAACCCCCTTTCCTTGTCTGACTTGCTAGACTTTCCCCCTGGCCGGTTGCTGGAAACACGGCAGGTGAAAAACGCTTCCAAGAGGGCTCGGGCTGGGAGGCGTGAGGCGAGGAACTTGACCCGGGCCGGTGACAGGGACGCGCCACAGGGCGCCCGGGGTCCCTCCGGCCCCCGCCCGCCAACTGCTCGGAATCGGAGGACAGCGGAGGCTCCCCCCAACCCCGAGGCCTGGGGGCAGTGGGGGGGGGGGGTCTCACCTCGGCGCGCCGCCCCAGGCCCCAGCGAGAAGCCCGGGACCTCGAGGGCCCGCGGCGCGTCCGGGGGAGTCCGCCGCACCTCTGCCCCTGCCCCCGGGGCCAGGAAGCCCCTCACCCCTCAGCAAAATCCCGGCCCCGGCCCGCGGGCCGGCGGCCTGCCCACCACCTGCTGCGCCCGCCGGCCGCCCTCCGCTTCCGGCTCCCCTGGGCCGGGAGGGGCCGGGGGCGGGCCTGGCGTCGCCTTAGCCGGTGGGGGAAGGGAGCGGGAGGGAGAGGGGAAGCGTTGGTCGCCGGGGCCCCACGGGCCCCACTCCTCACCTGGCGGCGGCTCCCTCCGCCTGACGCGCTGTCTGCCGCCGCCGGTCGCCGCCGGTGAATGGGGACAGGTGAGGCCGCCAAACCCCTGGTCGCTCCGGCCCCGCCGCCGACGGCCCCTCCGTCCGCTGTTTATTAAACTTTTCTGTTTGGTTGTTCGGCCTGTGACGCGACTACGGGGCAGAGCTTCGCGATTGGCCGGCGCCCGGCGCTGACGCGGCAACCCCCGCCCGCAGCCTAATTATTACCGGCCGGGGCGGAGCCGCAGGCCGGAGCCGGCGGGGAGGGGCGGGGTTAGAGCTCGGAGCAAGCGACGATTGGCTGGAGCGTAAGAGGAGGCGGGGCGAAGCGTGGGGGAGACGCTCCTCCGGCCTCTCCGCCTCCACTGTCCTTCCTCCGCCTGGGCTTCCTCCCAGCGGCAGCTGGGGCGACTACGGGAGGACGTTTCCTGGGGTCTAGAGGAGATTCATCGAGGTAGCAGGTCTCTCTGCTACCTCGAAGGGGGCTGCATGTACCTGTACCGGATCGAGTAGCCCAAAAGAGTTGCGCTTCACCTGCCAGTTGTGCAAGAAGGAATTCTGAGCTTTCCCCCACGTGCAACATTGTGCCCCCACCCCACCCCCCTTTTTGCAAGCGCAGAATCCAAGGCCTGGGGCACTACTCTGCCCGGTCCTGAGCCACCTTTTGGAAGGATTGGAAAACTAGTAGAAGCGAGCATGCACATGTGTGTCCCTCCCCCCCCCCCCCCCCCCAACACACACACACATGCTTGGACGCACACGCCCCCACAGGCACCCGGACCCCTTTGCAAAACTCTTTTTAGAAATGCACGTCCACTTCCCAGCTGAGTGGACCTACCAGTTACTGCGCTGGGGCGTGGGGTGCTGAGCAGAACGGCTCCCCCGCAGCTTCTGACCCTTGGGCTCCGGTGAAGTACAAGAAGTACAAGCTCATAGTTCGAGGTCATTCTGTCCTGCCGTGATTGTAGGGATTCAGATGGGGCTGGCAGGTAGAAGGTGGACCGGGTCCTGCGGGTCCTTTTTAGTTTATATTTGATGTTTTGTTTAGGAATATTTTGGAAGAAATTTTCATGTTAGAAAAATAGAGTAAAAAATATTATTTGATTACTGAACTTTTTTGGTGCCCCTTAAAATTTTCCGTTTCAAAAATCTCACTATCCTCACCCTAGTTGGATCTCACTTGTGGGGAGAGAGAGATTGATGTGACTGACTAAGGTATTTTGCAATAGGCCTTTGGGATAAGAAGAGGTTAGTTATAGAGGAGAGATAGGGGCCAGAAAGTTTTCAAGGAGGAGGTGGCATTGGTTTTTGGCACTGAGAGTGTGTAAGGCTCAGCCTGCTGGCAACCTGGAGAAACATTTTCTTGCTCTCCTAAAGAAGCTGGAAAATGCACTGTGGGGTTGGAAGAACAGAATGTGAAAGGTTGTGAGGTTACAGACAGATGCTTTAGGGGCAAGGTAAGGAACATCCTGTAAAGTTAAACCTCCTGTGAGCATTAGAAGGGGGACTTGCCCAGGAATGTTGATTTAAAACGCATTCAAATTTAATTGTAAAAACATACATACAAACAATGGACTCACCCAGCACAAGAGGATTTTGCCCAAGGTCATCATCCCTGATAATGCAGACCTGGAGATCAGGTTATAATAGAGACTAGAGACCGTTTTAGGGTCAGTTATTTGACAGATCCTCAAAGCCACGTTGAGTCCTTGACTTAGTGGGAAATAGGAAAGCATCATAGAACAAGAACTATAAAAAAGAGAGGAAATGGTGAATTAGAACAATTTGGTGGTTTCTTCCAATACTAGGAATAATTTTGCAGCCTGGGCCACCTGGAGTACTTTCAGCTGTTCACTGCCTTCTTGTCACCAGGTGGAAGAACTATATGGAAAGAACTTAAGATTTTGGCCAGGATTCAGATTCCTAATCAGATGGGTCACTCAGTGACCTTGATCAGTACTGGTAACCTCCTTGGGTCTCAGTTTTTTAACGAGTTTGGGAAACCTCAGCAAAGATTACTCCCTTTATAGGTTCTTCATTCTCATTGGGGAAATATAAATATAAAACACAGTTAGGTCTTTTTGTTGTGAGTAAGAAGATGGTAAGTAGTACAGATTGAAGAAAAAGTAGAGCAGGGTGGTGGTTGGGGGAGGGTGGATCACCCTGTTCAACAGGGTTGTTAAGGTGGGCTTCACTGAGAAAGTGAGGTTTGAACAGAATTGTAAGAGATGAAGATATAGTCATGAAAACCTGGGAGAAGAACATTCCAGACTGAGAGAATTGTTGCAGGAATGGGGACCCCCTTCCAGGGCCCCGAGAGTGGGCTCTTTAACACTCGGAAATGAATTGTTGGAGGAGACACACAGGCTGACAAAGCTAAAGACTGTTGGAAGGGGTGCCCAGGTAGAAAGCAGCAGGGTGAGGGAACCGAGGAGACCAGCTCTGCTATGTGGCTCACGGTCTCGGGTTTTATGGTGATGGAGTTAGATTCTGAGTTGCCTCTGGTCAGTCATTTTGCTTGGCCTGTATTTGGTGACTCAGGGTCCTTCCGGTGGCGGGTGCATCACTCAGCCAAGATGGATTCCAGCGGAGGACTCTGGGAGGTTGGCAGGACATGTGGCATCTCCTTTTGACCTTTCCCGAATTCTTCTGGTTTGCTGGTGGCTTGTTCTGTGTTTCTTAGCAGGACCTCCTGTCATGAAATAATTCATGCATGTGGTTACTGTGGTGCCTGGATAGGAGGGGTGGTTTCAGTCAGTGTTCCCCATAACAGAACTGCTAGAACATGGGTCCCCAGGCATGAATGGCAAGGAAAGTGACCCTGAAACCAGGTGAGCTGGGGAGAGTAGGAAAGGAAGTTAGAGAGGTTGGGAGGACTTGCTCACATAGAACTTTGGGGGCCATGGCCTTTGACTTGAGTGAAAGGTGGAAGTGCAGCCAATGCAAGGTTTGGAGCAGAAAAGTCACATGATCTGACTTAGATTTTGTAGGATCATTCTGCCTGTCGTGTTGAGAGTAGACCAACATGGCAAAAAGTATAGAAACAGGATCTTTTAGGACAGAGTGTTGGCATCCACATCTTCCCCCGTGGTTCAGTGGTAAAGAATTCACCTGCAATGCACGACACACAGGAAATGCAGATTCAGCCCCTAGATAGGGAAAATCCCCTGGAGAAGGGCATGGCAACCCACTCCAGTATTCTTGCCTGGAGAAGCCCATGGACAGAGGAGCCTGGCGGGTTGCAGTCCATGGGATCGCAAAGAGTCAGACATGAATGAAGCCACCAAGCACGCACGCACGCTCCACATTAGCATCCATGTGAGAGATAGTGGTTACTTGGACCAGGTAACAGTGGAAGCGGTGAGAAGTGGTCAGATTCAGGGTATAATCTGAAGGTAGAACCAACAATTTCCTCATAACTGGGATGGAGGGTGGGAGAGAGAAGAGGTAAAGGTAATATCCAGGTTTGGGGCTTGTGTAACTGACAGAGGGAGCCAGAAGGGAGATCAGGAGATTCTTCTTGCACACACCGCACTGGAGATTCTGTCTACACATCCCAGTGGAGACATCAGGCAGGCAGTTGGATGTATAACCCTGGAGTTTGTGGCACAGGTGTCGGAGGGATACAGGTTAGGGAGTCATTATCATAAATGGCACTTAAAGCCTGGAGGTAGATCAGGAAATGAGTACTCAGAAGACCAAGGACTGAGCCCTGGGGGTTCTGAGAACTCAGAGTTCACAGAGAAATGTAGGAATTCACAGGGGAGACCAAGAAGGAGGAATCAGAGGATGAAGGAAAACAGAGTTTGGTGTCCTGGAAGCCAAATGAAACACTGTCACATAGGGAGTGTCAAAAGCTACTGGTCGTTCAAGTATGAAGAGGACTGAGAATTGACTGTTGCATTTAGTGACATGGAATTCACCTTGGAGAGTTATCACTTTGGTGGAGAGTAGAAACCTGATGGGGGTGGTGATAAAATTTTCTTATTGGGGATTGGGGGGGGGGCAGTTAACGCAACACAGTAAGTCTCCTACATGTGAACCTTTAAGTTGCAACTTTCAAAGATGTGAATGTGCATGACAGCCCCATGTGCCAGCTGTTATACTGTACTTTCCAAGGTGCTGTACTGTAAGATTCAAAATGTTTTCTTTATTTTTTGTGTTTGTTTGTTGTAGTATTTGCCTGAAAAATACTATAAACCTATTACTGTACAGTATTATATAGCCAATTGTATTAGTTGGGTACCTAGGCTAACTTTGTTGGACTTTCAAAATATTGGACTTAACCAACTCACTCTTGGAATGAAACTTGTGTTTATGTAGAGGACTGGGGCTTCTCTGGCCATTCAAGCAGTAAAGAAT